CAGCCCATGACTGCTACTCCACGACTTATTATGGATCTTCCTTTATGCTTAGCTATCTCATGCTCCAGGGTTTCTACTCGCCTAAAAATTTCGGCTCATTATTTGGCTGAACTGCTGAACTCATCACTATCAAGTTCCGAAGAAATTTCGGAGGAGCTAAAATACTAGACATTCCTTTTTGCAAACCTGACATACCTCATGTCAACCTATCGTTGACACGAGTGCTTCTATCCTTCCGGTCAAATCTGGTACCAATAACAAAATTCTGGTGTGGTCTTCTGTAATATTCGATCCACTTCATTGCTTTTATGTGGTATTGGCCTTGTCGAATGATGCTGAAAATATTTGTTCATAAAGATCAACATTTTAAGCGCATGCGCATATTGACGTCATCTGTGCGCCTCGTGTCACGTATCGGCACCACACGAGGGAGTGGATTCAGTGCTTTATCTACTCTGCCAGAATGCCGGCCATCATCTGGTCACTGGCAGATAGGCTCTCGAACGACAACGACTGGTGCTGTTTATTCTCTCGACAAAGTTATCATAGATGATTCCGAGACTGCGCTTGAGGTACTTTGGTCACTTGTGGTATTACTTGGTCCACTTTATGTATGTGCACTTTAGGTTGCTGCAAGGTTGACAAGAAATGAACAGATACTTGTTGCGTGAGGCGTTGGAGGATTTAGTAGCACGTGAAAATATAGTGAGTAAGAATTCACACGCTTAATAGCAATTCTTAGAGAGTTCTCACGGCAAAAGAAAAACAGGCAATGAGGAATCAGCGTTGAAATATTCCCCCTATATTCAATCCTTATGGTTAGTGCTCTACCCAAGCTCAGAAATATAGGTGGGAAAGAAAAATCTGTAGGTCCACGAAAGGAATTCGATAAAATGTCTCATTTTTACTGGAAATGAGACACCATTCAAGTAGTATATTCACGGAAAAGTAGTAAAACTCAGGTATATAATGTCACTAAATAATCTAAAATTTTATTCCAAAGAAATATGTTTTCAGGATTCTGTGCCCATAACCGATGCTCAAACTCGCGCTTTGTTTCTTGTCAATGCTTTGCCTTTTATTGGATTTGGGTTCCTAGACAACATGATAATGATCGTTGCCGGAAATTACATAGATCAAGTAAGTCACTTCATCCAGGCTGCAGTTGTTTAGCCTGCTCTTTTTCTCCGTCCTTTATTTTTAGGAGATCACCAAATAGTGAAAATGCTTCCAGGAGCTGGGAGCATTATTATGTCTATCGACTATGGCTGCAGCGGGTTTTGGAAATCTGATCTCAGATGTGGCAGGCGTTGGACTTGCTCACTATGTTGAAAGTGTTTTCCTTAAACTTGGAATCAAGCATCCTGTTCTCACTTCCGAACAATTAGCGAGTTCCAGGGTATGTTTCGCAAGCTAACTCAAGTTTTTTTTTTAAATTTCAAACCGATCCGATTGTTGCCACTTCGAGTTTGTTGGAAATTTCGCATTGGCTTTTGACACAATATGGGTGCATATCTCATACAGTGTTATCTAAGATTACCTTTCCGTGGGTTGTGCGTCGCTACGGACATGTTTCTAGATTGAAATTTTTTTTGGAAAACGTGGATGGCAGGTGTAATGTGGAGAGTTTATGGGGTACCACTAATGGTTTGAGGGGGGGGGGGAAGGAGAAGGAAATAGCCAAAATTTCGTCCAACTATACAGGATGCTAAACAAATATGGTAGCAAAGCATTTTGGCACAGAGACCACAACTCAGTACGAAATACAATGAAACTCTACACACATTAACTTCCTATCGAAAGAACGTAGCAGCTGTTGTCTAGATGTCTTACACAAAGTATCGAATAAATAAATGAACTTAGAGACCGTTAATTAAGATTGATTGTGGTTCGGTACCTCGCAGACGCTCATGTGTACTTCGACGATCGGTACAGACTTCTCTCAGGCATCTCCTAGGTCTTAGTTGTGGTGCATTTTTAAAGAAGAAGTTTCACTCTTTGAAATGAATCCACTTGGGTTGAAGTGTGGCAGATTTGCCTTCCAATGGGACCCAGGAAAAAATTCGGCAACATTGGTTCTGCACCACACTTTTGAACTCGATTTCATTTTGGTAACCGTTTCTCAG